AGAGGTGTCTATCATGAAGAAAAGAGTGTAAAAACAATAAAATACAAAATCGATTATGAGAAGCCCTGCCAGAGAAGAAAATAGCGAGAGGAATATCAAGGGAAAAACAATTTTTAAACATGCATGAGTAAATAAAATTCAATTAGAAACATGAAATTACAAAATTCTACAATAAACTACTCAAAAAGCGGAGAATGCACAACAAAAGAGCAGAAATTAAATACCTAACAGATTGTAACTATCAAAAACGTAACTTGCCAAGGAAAAAGAAGGATAGAAGTGAGAAGAATAAGAACGGGAACGAACAACAATTATCAAGCATCTATGAGTATGAATTAAACTAAATTAGGAACAAGCAAGAACAAAATCCTACCAGAATAAAAAAAATCTAATAAATAACACTGAAAAACTGAATTTGAGATTGAGCGATAAACATTGAAGAGAAAAAAATGAAAAAAAAAGAGTTAAAAAGGCTTACCTATTCCAGGACTCAGAAGAGAAAGTAATAGAAAATCAAACTATCAAAGAGAAGAGATGATTTCAGTTTCTTACACATGTATATAAAAGGACTATGGCTAGTAAAATTGGTCTAGACAGAGCAAAATATTAAAGCATTCACGGTATACTTTAGAATGCTTTTTGTACTACTATATGATGCCATGTTCGTCCCTCTCTTACTCGCTTATATTTAAGGGTAATGTAATCATCTCATTATTGTTATTATACGCTAGTACAATTTTCACTGGCTTGAAAGAATTTAATACATTTTGTTCTATCAAATGCTTCCATACCATATTGATTCCCGTTGAATCAGATTAAATTCAAATTAACATCTTGAATTAATTATTGAATATCAACAATACATAAGTTTTAATTTTCAAAGTGGGGACGGCTATAGCCGATGCCGTACTACGATTGCAATTAAGAGAGCAAAACAATGATTTATCGGAATAGAAATATTGTCAATGCAAAAAATGCTTCATCAAAATTCAAAGGAAAATTTCCTTTCAAGCCAAAATCTGATTCTAATGTGTTAAAAGTCTACGTCTCAAGGAGTGAGTGCTTTTGTTTAAACAGCTGCGCAACTGCCTTTATCACTTGTTCCCTGTATTCTCAAAAAAATCCTTTTTGAGTCATGTCATATTTATGTTCCCCACTTTACTTCAGTCTCTTTGAATCCCGATCTGCTGATGTCTTCCCAAACCTCTTTTTACCAGATATATCATGCAGGAAATGACAAGAGAATCCTTTACGACATCCCTTAGGTTTATTAAAGAAAATACAAGGTTTCCTGCTGCACGAAATTGGTTTTTGTAAGCTTTCATCAACCATAGACTCAGTTTTTTCTCCACGTTGCTTGATCAGAGAATTGCAGAAATTGTTGATATCCTTGTGAGTATTCATCTTGGAGGAAGGGCCAACATTTGGTGAAAGAGTCAACTTAGGCTGCAAGGTGGTAGGACCATATCTGGAAACCAACTCAGAAATTTCTCCTCATGCATTGTAATGTACACCATATTTGCTAATGATTTCTTGATATTTTTGAGATCAAGCTCTGAAGTTGAATAGATTATTGACTTACTCTCTCTAATGTTAGGCTTAGTCATTGTCAAGGGCACAAATTTTGCAGATTCTGCATGTGCAGCATTGAGAGAAACAACATTGGTAGCCATGCCACGTTCATTCATCCGGTTGAGGAGAAGCCTAACAAATAAATTGGCATCAATCAGACTACCCTGCTCTTGAAGTGCAGCTACAACTGTGGCTATAAGAACTGTCAAATCATGCAATGGTGCTTCTTCTTCTATAGAAATGGTTCTGACTATTTGAGTTTGACTATCATCATAACCTTGTTCCAGGTTAGACAAGTTGTAAGAACTGTTAAGAAAGAAAGAAAAATATTCTCAGATTAAAACCAAGTAAAATTAAGACAACGAAAGCTACGAAACATTTAAAAAATAATCCAAAAATTACATACTTTGGAGGAATTGCAAACTTGTTAGGGAAAACTGCCTCAATCACCCTCATTTTCCTATTCTCATGCTTACTAGCGTCTTGACTCTCCTCACCATCAACCACTAGCCATTTCTCATTTAATTGGAACTACAAATAACAACAGTTAATGGGGTTATCACAACAATGTGTACATAAACTATTCAAATAAAGGAAATTCCTATCATCTAATCTAAGATTACCTTGGGAGGGCATTTCCATATAGCCAAAGATTTTGAAGAAAGTCTCTCTTCTGACTTCTTCAAGCAATCTCTTCTTTTAGATAATGATCCGTTGATGCTTTGATGTCTATGTTGTTGAGATCTGCTCCTAACTTCTGATTGGCAATCCTCTTTTCGATAAGTTTTACCTGTTCAGTGGCAAATTATAAAAACTCGTCAAGGAGAAATTTGAAGAAAAAAATTCCCTGCTGTGTAAGAAAATTACATCCCTCTTTTCAAATTTTTGGTGGGATAAACAGAGGAGAAAAAAAAAAGATGCATTATGAGAAATGGGATAGATTAAAATTCTAAATTGTACATTATGAGAAATGGGATAGATTATAATTCTACATCAATTTAGCTATCTAAAAACTTTTAATATGGCTGT